CTGCCGCCTGCCTCTGGGGACCTGTGAGTAGAAAAATTTCTTACTTTCTCACAGGCATTTCTGTATCTTCCTCTCCAGATTAAAACAAATTCCTGGTACCCTTCCAATAATGCTCTAAGGGGTCTGCAAGCTGGCTGGGAAGAAAAAGTAGGGGGCCCCCATTTCAGGACCCTGCAATGTTCGTTATTAAATTAAACTTGCCGACGACTTGAGCTTCTCAGCAGTGGAGGAGTGGCTTCAAAAGAGAGTAAGTGACCCATCACAAAAAGTATTCCAGTGGAGGAGGATTCTTCTGAGATGCTGTCATGTAAAGGATAAGATTTAGCGGGCAGATCTGTTGTCCAGGTAAGGCTGGCGGCCGTGAAAGGCAAGGAAGGGTGGATGTGGACGATGTACCCGGGAAGGCCACATGGAGAGGTAACAAATGGTGTTGCATTGGTGTCTACCAAAGTTCAAGGGCAAAGAGGCCACTATGTAAGGGTCTGGGACTTCTAAAGGGCTTGGAATTTTGTGGCTTTTCCTAAGGATAATTTCAGCCCAGAAGGGTAACAAGCAGCCTCTGATGGTGCATTTGGAGGGGTAAGGGGTGGGGCGGAGGGGTCTCTAGGAACCAGGCACACTGAGGTCTGGTCCCCGTTCCGGCTGCCACAAACATCTGATTGCCTGAGAATGTCGCTTGGAGCTGGATTGCTCTGTGCTCCTCTGTTTTCTAGTCTGTAGCCTGAGCACAGGATGTACCTCAAGGTCCCTCCCAGGCCCAAGCGCTAACACTGTGACCACAGCCCAGGTCTGGGCCACGGCTCAGTCATTTCTCCGTGCCTCTGTCCTTCCTCTTCAAAAACAAACCTGGCAGACACGCTCGCTTTGCGCACCTCCCAGGGCCACTGCTGGGATAACGGATGAACAAGCATTCGGACAAAAAATAAGCATCAGCTTGGGATATGCGGGATTATTCTGGAAGCAGAGGGCAGTGCTAGTGTAAATGCCAGGCTTAGCAAAAAGCTGATGAGTGGAAGGCCGACATCTTGCGGCCGGTCCCCCGCGCCCGGACACAAGTGGCCAGCCTGAGGTCCAGCCAAACTCAATATTTTCCATTGCTGGTTCTGGAGTTAGCTTTGCTGGGCAAGCTGGGCTTATTTTATTTTCTGTGTGCTTTATTCCAAAGCATACAAACAAGCCCGAGAGAAAAAAAGCCAAATTCGTTTTGCTTGGAAAAGCTGGAAATGCCAGGGAAGTGGGTGCCACAATCCAAAGGATCTGGAAGTTTGCTGCACTCAGACAAGCATCCAGGAAGGACTTTCCGCAGTTCTGACAGCCAGCAGGTCCATGTCTCCGGTCCTCGTGTCACTCACCAGAGGCCGGGAAGCACAGAGATCTGAGCTCTGGCCAGCCTGCTTCCAGCCACAAATAGGGTCGCTGGCTTCGCGGGCATTTAGTTGCTCCCAGAGACTCCACCATGCTTAGGTGGTCTGTGTTTCCCCTTCAGGTCCTGAGCTTGCTCACCTTCCCTCCTTAGAGGGTGGGAGTCAGCTCTCTTAAAAGACAACGCCCAGAAGAGACTAGCAAAGCCTGAAAACCATCGTTCAGTGGCAAAACCTAGAAACCAGCTTCATGAGCTCCACACTGGCCAGTGAGCGCCTCGTCAGCGTGGGACCCAGCCCGGAAGGCCCTGGCCCAGTCATGCTTTGCAAGCACAGGCTGAGTGGGCCCCTGGGGCCCCAAGCAGAGCCCTGAGACTCTGTAGGCCTCCATTCCTGAAGCCCCACCCACCCCAAGGGTCCCTCCCTGGCCCCCATACGGTGCTACCCAGCCCCTTCCCAGGAGTGGGTGCCCTGGGTGTCTCTCCAGTGCTGAGTGCATTGCACGTGCTATCTTAGTCTGCAGAGCAGGTAAAGAAGCACAGGGCTATTTGGTCAATAGGGAAACCGAGGCTCAGAGGCTGAGTCAGCAAAGCTGGAGAACAGAGCAGTCACCACACCAGGACTGAAGGCCCAGCTCCGTGCTGGTGCCGCACACACAGGTGCCCTCCCTCTTTCCTTTATTTCTTTTTGCTTATTTGCATCTTCTCCCCGCTCCCCATGGCTCAGGCTTATTCTGTAATTAAAACTAAGAATACGTTCACACTCTCTGAGTTGCAGTATATCATGTAATGATGGGAAACTGTCAAGTACTCTGATGGAGTGGTGTGGTATTATGAAATTACACAGCAAAGTGACTCCAAAAGCCGGGCGTGGTGGCACACCCCTGTAATCCCAGCACTCGGGAGGCTGAGGCAGGAGGATCACTACAAGTTCGAGGCCAGCCTGGGCTACAGTGTGAGCTCAAGGCCAGCCTGGGCTGCATAGGGAGACCATCTCAAAAAAAAAAAAAAAAACCAAAAGAAAAAAAAGTGACTTCAGAGAATTGCAAAATGACAAGGTAAATGTGGCAGGAAAATCTCAAGCCATGCGCAGTACTGCTGGTGCTGTGTAGGTGGCAGAGAGGACGAGAACCAGGAGCACGCTTGGGTAAAAGCACGGGTAACAGACCTGGCTCAGGTTCCCAGCACCAGGAACCCGGCACAAGTCCTTGCCAAACCCTAAGCCATCTTTGGCCACAAGCCCGAGTCAAGTGCTGTGTGCCAAGCTTACAATCCAGGGCAAAGCCTTGCAGCAAACAACCACACGGCCACTACCCTAACACCAACGGGACCCTGCAGCCCTGTCTCCTGGCCTGCAGGGAACCTGCAGAGGGTGTGGAGGAGGCCGACAGCAGCTGCCCTAGAGTTGACACGCCGCTTCACCAAGACTTTATCTGTCCCCTTGCCCCCTTATTAGGTGCTATTATCATCTCTGTCCTCAAAGCTTGCAGCCTGGGCAACAAGGTCTGTGCGTCGGGGAGCCAGGGACCAGGGCAGCAGACTGGTGAGGTGCTGACTATCTTAGCCACTTTTCTCGCCACTGGGACACAATACCTGACACCTGAAGTGAAAGGAGGAGAGGTTTATCTTGGCTCGCAGTTTGTAGAGGTTTCAGTCCACAGCTGGCTGGCTTCAAAGCACGGTGTTATGGCAGAGGGGCATCGCAGAGGCGAAGTGGTCCACGGCAGAGCAGGCACGAAGCAGCAAACCAGCAAGCAGCATCAGCAAGCCTGCCTTCTTTCTATTCCTTTATTTCCGCCCAGGCTACAAACCTACCGACTGCTGCCACCCGGCATCCACACCCTTAATCCCAGCATCACACCCTAGTCCGCATTCACGCGCACTAACCCAGCCACCTTCGAAACTCCCCACCTCTGAGTGCATGAAGCTTTGGGGGGACATCTAGATGCAACCCCTAAATAACACTGACACAAGAGGGGTCCCTGACCGAGTGCTCGGCTCCTGGCTTCCCCAGCCTCACCCAAGTCTCACTGGGAAGCAGGAGGATGGGACAGCAGGCACAGAACAGGACTTCCGGGGATCGGCGACTGGGATCTACCTCAGCAAGTGGGGCGCAGGCAGGGCGACACTTTTGTGTCCAGGCTGGGCAGCTCGGTAGCTTCTGACACACTGCGATTTGAAGCCGAGCCAGGGAGGCCCACTCTGCCCGCCAACACCCTCGCTAGGCAGCTGCTTCACGGCGGAATGAGCGGTGGCACAGCCAGCTGGAGGGCCCAGCCGCCCGGTGGCCTCCCCAGCTGCAGCCCTCGAGGCCCACAGGCATTGTCCCACATCCTCCCCCTCAGGGGACCATTCAAAGAATGCTTTGGGGCAGCGGGCACAGCTCAGTGGGAGAGCTTGCCTGGCACTGCAAGGCCCTGGCTTGGATCCCCAACACCGCAAACACACACACTCCTGCATGGAGTGAATCTGCTCAACGGCAGCGGTGAGACTTCCTCTGACCCACAGAACAGGTGGGGCCTGCGCACAAACCCTCTGCAGGGATTTGGCAAATCTGGTCCAAGTGTTCTTTTCACTGTAACCGACCAGCAGCTCCTGAGGCTGGCAGGGGGCCGACAGCTCCCCCGCCTCTGGGTTGCCGGAGAGCACCAGTATTTACCAAGGTAGCCAGACACCCAGGTTACAACGACACTTGGAATCATTAAGACCTAATGGCTTGATTTAATCAGAAGGAACAAAAATCCCTAACCTTTCCCCTAAAGGGTACCAACTTTTTCATCTTTCAGTGCCAATTCTGGTTGTTTTGTTTTGCTTTGTTTTGGGACAGGGTCTTACCAAATAGTTCTGGTTGGTCTTGAACTCACTACATAGGCCAGACTGACCTCGAACTCATGGCAATCCTACTGCCTCAGCCTCCCAAGCGCTGGGATTACAGACACACGCCCAACGCCAGGCCTAGCTTCAACGCCAGTTCTGGACACCCAACACCCTTGAGAGACAGGAAGGAACTGCTCCCAGCCACCAGCTCCCAGAACCTTGACTGTGAGGCCAGGCCAGGGCCCTCTCCCTGAAGCAGTGGTGAGTGCATTGGCTGACTTGCACCTGAAGCACACACTCGACTCTGTTGAGCAATCTCACGCTACTAAACTTGCAATGACACAGGTCAATGTCTTGCCTGTGGTATCACAGCAGGTCGCTGGGGGCACAGGTACCGTGCTTGTTACCCACCGTGTCTGCCAAGGAGGAGGATGCCCTGGCTGAGACTTCACACACGGCAGCTGCGCGGTGACCTCACCAGCTCCAGCCCAAACAAGCCCCACATGTGCTCAGCCCGAGGCGGAAGGGGCGGTCACTCATGCTACAGCTACGATCACGCAGCCCGAGATCACTGACACATTTAAAGAAGACACAACATGCTTCAGACTTTGTCGCACCTCCAGACCCCTCTGATATCAGCCCCCCCCCGACCCCACCCCGTCCCCGAAGTCTCAGGCCTCTGCCACACGCACTGCCGTGGGGGCCCAGGGCTAACAGCATTATAACTTCGAGGTCCCCACCCCCTGGCTCCTGCACGCACATTTCAAATGTCCCTTATCTCTAACCGAATTCTCACCCAGGTTCCTTGGTCAATCCACAAAAGAGCTCCAGCTCTGAGCGGCAGGAGCCACCTCCTGGAGACCAGCGTACTTGCCGTCCACGGCAACGGGTGGGCGCCTGGAGGACGCCATTTTCTTTCGTTCTTAAACAGAAACACCATGAGCTCCTCTCGCTCTGTCTCTCACCAGCCCCTCTCCTGTTGAACAAGTATTCACAGAAGCCCCAACTAGGTGCCAGCCTCATGGGGAAAACAGAAGAGAGACCCTCCTCAGTCCTTCAGGACTGCAGTTGTGGAGATAAGGAAGAAGCAGGATGGAGTCCAGGCAGCCCCTGTGGGGTAAAGATGGCAGCCACCACAGAAACTTCCGGAAGGAAGAGCCCACTGTGGAAGAAAGTCACAAAAAGGGCTTCGTGAAAGGCGTAAGGCCAAGGCTGAGGTAAGCAGAATTAGGAATTAGGCGCTGAGGAGCCCTCATATTTTGTACAGCCCTAGTGCCTCCTCCCTCTGTGGTCCCACAGGCATTGGCAAGGTTCTAGAAGGTTCCAGAAGGTTCTGGAAGGCTCACAGCAACTAGGTCTCTTTTGCAGCAAGGAGCACGAGTTAGGCCCAGGCTTGGGTCACTGACAACCCAGAGCTGTAGGCTGAGGCAGACGCCGGTGTGTCTCAGGCAGCCACTCAGGTTCTGAAGCTTGTGACCTAGAATGGCCTCCACGGCCCTGCTGAGCAGAAGGCTGGAGCTGCCCAGGTGGAGGGAAGCCAGGCTGTCGCTTAGCAGCACAAGTCTCCCTAGCGTCACTGAAATCAGCACCAACACACTGTAGCACTAGACAACTGTTTTCTAGAGACTGCCTTCCGCACCAGTGCCCTGAGCCGGCGGGTCCTCATGAAGGCAGGGTGAGTTCATCCTCCTGAGCACACTGTGAAGGATAAAAACCCTCACCCCTACCTCTCCACATGATCAAGTCCCAGCTTTGCCATTTACTAGCACTGTGGCGGGTGAGCCATTAACCTTTCTAAGCCTCAGTTTCCTCATCTGTAAGATGGGATTGATAATCATTACACTGATCCAACAAGGTTTTTGTGAGGATTAAATCAGGGGCTCCACATGTATTCTGTCCAGAGTTTTATGGAAAGTGGTGCAGTCTGTCCTCATGACGTGTGACTTGGGCATTAGACAAGCTCAATTTAGAGGTCACTCTGGTGACAACAGCCAGTAGAGAGAGTCACAGAGACCCCGAACCTTCAGGTAAGGTAGGAAATGGCAGACAGTAAACAAAGAAAGTTCTGGAAATACACCCCTGCCATCACCTCTGGGTGGAATGATGCCCAGGCCAGAGCTAAGGCCAGGGCAGAAACCCCGACCCTGGGAAGCCCCTAGCCCAGGGTGCAGTGGCCTCAGCATGGCTGGTGTGTTAGGGAGGATTCCAGTGACTTTGCTGGCCTGCCTTACTCAATCACCCAGCAGCCCACACTGGTGAGCCAATGCTTCCCCTCGGTCCTGGGCAGGTGTGGGGTGTCAGTACTGTGTGGCCAGGCCATTAGGATGTGACCAATGCCTCCCTTTTTCACAAATGGTTCTCAGAGAGTTGACAACACAAGTCCAGGATGGAAAATGTTCAGCCCTGACTTAAAAATTAGAACAAGAGAACCACCCGGTAGCAGTTTAACAGCGGGGGCGGGCAGAGGCCACCAAGCTCGGCAGTGTGGCTGAAGGTCTGGGTCTGCCAGAGTCCAGCCCACAGTGTGCTGTGGAGATAGTGCCGCTTCAGCCTCAGGGCCGGCTCTGACCTCGGGCTTGTCACAAACACAGGCAGCGCCTTGGGCACAGGGCCATCTCCCTCTCAAGCCAGGGCCAGGCGTGGCCACTCTGGCAGCTGCTGTGGACCTAGAGGAGGAAGCTCAGGCGGAACAGGAAAAACCTGTATCCAGTTTGGTTAGCTACAGGGATTCTATGACAATCACTTTCCAAAAATTGAATGAAGATCAGAACTTAAGTAAAAACTTATTTTAAGACATTTTGGGGGGCTTATTGGAGATTTGAACCCAGGGGCTTTCCACTGAGGTACAGCCCCAGGCTTTAGAAATTTTTAAAATTTTGAGATAGGGTCTCATTAAGTTACCAAGTTGCCTAAATTGGACTCAAGCTTGCATTCTCCTGCCTCAGCCTCCCAGAGTGCTGAAATTACAAGCATGAGCCACCACCTCCAGCTACCATTTAAAAAAAAGACTCTTCCTGCTGTTATAGGTTGAATTGTGTGTCTCCCATAAAGGTATGTTGGGGTCCTAATCCCCATATCTCAGAACAGGACCTTACTTGTACAGGCTACAGAATTCAGCTCCTTTAATGACTGCTCACTATGTGAGGTCATACAGACCCTCTACTCTAGGGTCTAGGGCCAAGGAAAAAGAAGTAGCGGCTGGAGCAGTGGACACTCTGTCCAGCCAGTCTGCGCCCATCAGACCATCCATCCAT